GCTGTAGGAGGGGGACAACTGAAAACGGAGGCCTCCACCTCTGTTCAATGATGGACGGTCTTTCTTCACAAAAATGGTGTCAACAATAGCCATGTGATGTGAGTATCAGTCACATGGAGGCAGGGCTTAAAAGCCTGAATTTTGCCTGAAACTCTCAGACTGAAGAAGTCTCTTGGAGGAGAGACGAAACGTTTCATTAGAGAAGAACCCGTCCAGAGGACCTATACAATATTTTTCTTTTTGATTTTTTACCTGGATTACTGAGATGCATCATAACTTTCTGGTTATAGCATACATTTCAACAGCTATGTTTTCCTGTAAAAGTTGAATAATAAAACTATACTAAATAAGCTGCGGATTTAAAATAAACGTTATTTTATTGCTGATTTTAGATAGTTACATTAACAGTCAAGTACAAGTTTAAGCTTTTAATGGTCTAAGTACGGTAATCTGAATTTCGCCTGAACAGAAGCGTCGGCGCAGTGAGCGGTGTTCGTGAATACACGATCTTTGGGCCGGTGCTGACGTGCGTCGGTCCGTCACGTGACCTGCGGAATGTTAACAATGCAGCGAGTGTCCAACTTTGTGCTGCATTTCTGATCCTGCCTGGAGTAAGAGCAGAAAATGGAGGCTCGTTTCATCGGTTGTACTCCGCTCCTCCGCCTTCGCTGAGCTCCTCTGCTTCGTCTTCGCTCAGCAGCTCCGACACGGCCTTACAAAGTCGCCGTTTGACGGAGTTTCCTCTCCTATGCGGAGTTTTTTTTTCTTGTTCTTGCTACTTCTTCTATCACATGGTGAGTTGAGAGTTTACTTTTTTTGGGGAGGGGAGTGGTGGTATGATTTATCTTCACGGACAAGTTGAGGAAAAAGTTTCTAACGAACGTGTTGCAGGGTAAGGATATAGAAAACAGTTTTTCTGTACCCTTAAAAGTTTTAAGCGTGTTTGGGGTTAACAGGACTGCCTCCATTTTTTCCCCCTGCAGAGGAATGTGTTCCTTCCTTCCCTCTGAGCCCCCAGCCCTGCCTGAGGTACAGTCAGACAAGAAGGCCACAAGTCTTTCAAGCTGGGCTTTCTGAAGCTTTTTTTCTTTTTACCTCCAGGGCATCGCAGGACAAACTTAGAACCGACCCAGACATCCTATAACGGTGTTAAAAAGCTTGTGAAAACAGCTGTAAACACTAAGCTTAACATTAGGTTGCTTAAGCGCAATTTCTTGCGCAAGACTCATGTAAATAGTTTATTTTATTATTATTTTGTGGTCCAGCTCTTTGAAAAATGATCAGGGGTGTGTGATATTTAAAAGATCACATATTCCTAACAAAATAATCATATTAATGTTTAAAATTAATTTTAAAAATAAAATTTCATCAATTATATTACATCAAATAACCCTTATTTTTCCATTTTTTTTTTTAAAGAGTTTGTTTTTATTTCAGCTTAAAGATGGCACAGTA